TTCAGTGTGGGCCAAGCATGGCCAGGTGGTTAGGGTGCTTGACTTGCAATCATAGGGTCGTGGGTTCGAATCTCTGTCCCACCAAACATACTTGCCCTTTCAGCTGTGGGAGCATTATAATGTGATGGTCAATCCCACTGTAAAGAATAAAGAATGTGAAATTTGTAAGGTTTGTATACTTTCAGTGTGGGCCAAGCATGGCCAGGTGGTTAGGGTGCTTGACTTGCAATCATAGTGTCGTTGGTTCGAATCTCTGTCCCACCAAACATACTTGCCATTTCAGCCATAGGGGTGTTATAATGTGATGGTCAATCCCATTGTAAAGAATAAAGAATGTGAGATTAGTAAGGTTTGTATAATTTCAGTGCATGCTACTCTTATGTTAATTGGATGTTTTTTTCATAGACATTAAATAGACAAAAGTTAATAAAATCTTCATATCAGAGTTTCTATTTTGGTTAAACCATTTAATGTTTTTCTTAACAGAGAACTAAGCTGCAGTTTTACAGTTCAAAAGTAACATAATCAGATTTAACCCTTTTGTGTGGGCTAGGTATAAAATACACAAGTTTGTATACACATTTACACATGTTAAGTATTTATACTATAATTTTTAATGCAGTACATGTATCTTCCCAAAATTTGGCAGACTTTTAGTAAGCATCAGATTTTTTAAGGAAGTAATTTAATAAAGGTTTGTTTGTGAATATATCGAGTCTGTTTTGTTACTAGTCCAAGTGTGAAGGGATTTTCATGTTATGATTAAAAAAACTATTCTTCATCCCAAAAATCTCAAATATCATTTGTGTAACCTCTACAATCTCCTAAATATGTTTCAAATCTATTTTTCAGTAAAACTTTGTATTTTAGGTAATATTTTTTCTACCCTAACTCTTTCCAGGGTCTGCCAGTTTAACTGGCCTCGTAACCACCATAAAAAATTAGGAAATAAATATAAATTATGCTTTTTTCGTTCTAGAATGACTACAGATTATAACACAAAAAGACAAGTGTTTAGTCTAAATAGCATAAATCCCATAACATTATATATATTTTTTATTATATTGACCTTTTCAGCATGTCTGACTAATGTTACAGAAGTTGCAATGATGCTGTGCATGTACACTCGTGTTACCGTATCCAAGAATATAAAACTGGCCTTTACAAAGTGACCTGTCTTGGCTGTGTTTTAGTGGACTAGTATTTTGTAAGATACAGTGACATTTCAGTTATAATACATTATATGTGCATATAAAATATTACTATTTACAAATATGTTCTTAAACTTATTTTTCTTAAAACATAGAACAGTAAATAATGAAGTATAGCAAACATGTATCTCTTCTAGTTACATACTTTGTAACTATAATTTATCAATCTATGAAATTTGAGCTCACTAAAGTTTTACCTTACCAGCTGGAATCTTTTATAAAAAGAGAGAGTTCTGTATATTTGAAAAAGATTGAGAAAGCCACTAGGGGGACATTCTAAGCTTTTGATTGGTTATACACACGTCATAGACAGAAGTAGGTGTACTTAAGCAAGTGTTTCCAAAAATGGAAAAAGGTGGGCGTGTCACGGAGTCACTAAATTTAGTGATATCTCAGTAAATAGAAAAGATAGGAGGTTCTTATTTTTGTATTCTAGCTTGTCAGTTTGGTAATTTGAGTTCCTAATTCGTAAGAAAGTATAGACTTTGTATTTGAACACCACAAACATCTAATTTGAACCAATATCACGTGACACACAAAAATCAATATTTATGCTGTTTTTTTAATATTTACTTTTAAATTAAGAAATTAACTAATGTATAGTACAAAAATTTGAATTATAATCTTCAATTTGATACTAAACTTATTGACATAAATTCATAAAATAAAAATTGAATATAATTTTGAATGTGAGTCAACAAATGTGATGACATGGTCTTTGACCTGTGACCCTTGTTGGTAGAGTTAACTTCTTTGATTTTTTTTGTTTTTTTACTTTTTCATCAAAAATTAAAGCAAGTTATGCTTGTTTATGAGGAATGTTAAAGCACTTTTAACACAGATATTTGTAGAAGTATACACTGACTTTTCTCTACATTAAAATACTTTTATTTATGAGCTTTTGGCTCTCTTACAGAAGCCTTCTTTAGGCAACAATTTAATATTCAAGCCATAAAAAAACAATTATACAGATATTTGTTAATTTATCACATCCTTTTTTCTTTTTGAGTAATTAAAAGAAGCAGAACTTTGACCAGCTACAGATAAACTACAAATATAAACTATGAATTGAAAAAGATTCGAACAGAGCATTGTTTTTATACCATAACATCAAAATATTTAAAAGGTATTCTTTGTAAAGTTAAGTAAAAAGAAATATTTGAAATCTCATTCTATTATAATTTATCAATGAAATTTAATACCAGCTCTTACGAGAAAATTAATAAGAAATCACTAATTAAGCACTAATTACTCATGAAACATTTTTTAGTTTTTTATAACTATTACATAATTAGAAAATATTCAATTAGGTAGCTTACAACATAATCCGAGATTCTTTGTTGCAGAACATGTACTCTGTACTTCGTCCCTGTGATTCATTGGAGCACCTTCTCTTTTCCAATCCCAGCGAGTGCACACCTAAGGTCTTTTTGAATAACTCTGTAATCAACTCAGGTAACATTTTGCCTAAATTCATATAACTTCTAAAGTTACAGCAAAGCTGAAAAGTTTATTCTGATACGATACCTTACCTCTCCCATATAATAGCTTTTCTCATTCAGTGCTGCCCTCTATATGCACAAATGTTTTTGCTTGTCACTAGCCTTGATACTCCCTCCTACCCCACATATTTCACATGGTACAGCTGCACTGTAGCATACAAATAAGCATGCAACAAACTCTACACCAATAGGAGTGTGACACACCCTCTTGGCACAGCTGGCTTCCTCTACACTATAGAATCCAGTCTTCACCTCTAGATTTGGTGCTATAGAGTGAAGACATGTTCATATTTTGCTCATGTTTGATTTAGATTTTTTTCAATTTTTTCAACAACTTTGTTCTTTCTGCTTTTGTTTTTTTCTACAGTTATACTAGAGTTACTGTACATGGTTAATTTTTTTATCCCCTCTCAGTTGAATTTATGAACTCTGAATTTCAAATCACTGCTACTATCACACTACTACTGCACCTCAACCACACTATGTGGCCTGTGATGTCTCCTGATTCCAGACCAGATATTCCTTTTCTTGGTGAACCCGGAGAAGAAGAAAATGGTTTGGTTAGCCTCTTTCTATCTCCTTCCTTTGCCGTGCAATCCCATCTTCCACCTGTGGATGCCCCCAGATTGTCTTCAGTCTTTCTGGATATGGTGCCACAGGTATGTTACCTATTGTCTGTGTCATATGACTCCTTCCCTATTACATTCTGCCTCTTCCTCTGACTACCTGTTTTTCCTTCCTCTCCAGATAGTGGAGTTTCTGGCACAGTTACATTCTGGGGTCAGCATACCTTGGATAATTACATGTTGGCATACCATTGTTTGGATTTTCCATTTCTCAACTCTCAAACATTAGTCTTTGATCCAGGTCTGGGGTTCTGACCCTGATACCTTAGTGAGATTTAAAGCCAGATTTTCCTACCCCCATTTGTTCTTCTCCACCCTCCTGAGATATTCCTCCATCAATCTCCTGCCTAAGACTATCCCCTGCGAGGTTTTTGGAGGATACTTGCTCCTTGTGTATTTCATGTTGGTATGATTGTCTTTTTTGGCCCTTTCCTTCATACATGGCTCTTCTATTTGGTGTGGGGCATGCTGTTAACTAATGTGCACCTACTCATGTCTTATTTACAAGACCTCTGTTTTTGGAGATCTTCCCAACTCTATGGAGTCCAGGGTGGAGGCTGCTCATCAACACTCCTCTCTTATGTCCTTGGTCTCTCATCTATCACAGCCTTCTTCTGTTCCTATTTTCTGCCCTCCTCATTCTGCACCTTTACCTGTTCCCTTTTCCCAGTTCTTGGTGGCAAGTGCCAGTTTACTCATCACTGGGCCCCCTGCTGTCAACAGTACCAATGACTGTCCTGTAGGTTCTGGCAAGATCGGAGTATGGTTGGCCAAGTTTGTGCATCTGTGGTATGATTTCACCTGGATCCTTGGGTGCTTCAGGTTTTGTCAGAAGGTATTTCTCATCATTTTATCAACCCTCCTCCCTTATCACCCACATCTCACCCCACCCTCCTCCTCTGGATCCTATTTCTTGCCAGCATCTCTCCAAAGTGTTCAGACTCTTCTCTCTAGGATTTTATAGAACCTGTCATTCATACTTCTCCAGGATTCTATTCCAAGTTGTTTGTAGTTCCCAAGATGACTGGGGACTGGCATTCTGTTATAGATCTTTCCCACTTCAACTGTTTTATCAACCCTCCTCATTTCACCAAGAGGTCTTTCATCACGTTTTGTTGGGCATTTACAACTGGTCTTTGGATCACGAAGGTGGATGTAGTGGATGCATACCTTCACATCCCTATTTCTCCAACATCCAGACATTACCTTTGTTTTGTCCACAAGGGTCGAGTGTATCAATTCTGTGCTTTGCTGTTTGGTATGGCATCTGCTCCCTACGTATTCTGTCGAGCAGTCATGGCCTGCAGTTCAACTATTACATGGATGACTGGCTACTCTTAGCTCCATCCCATCAGACCTTTCATGAGCACACCCAGGTGGGTTAGTTGTCACGCTGGAGGAATACTTTCTTCTTCCAATCGAATACCTTATCCTCTTGGGGGTGTTTTTCAACTTCTGTTTCAGTTGGGCCATCCTTCTCCACTTCATTTGCGAGGGATGAAGCTATTAGATCCCAAAGCTCAGTTATCTTCTACTCTTACTGCAAGCAAGGTTCTATCTCTTTTGGGGACTTGGCTTCCATGTGAGCTCTCATTCCCTTAGATCATGCTTAACCTCCAGTTGGTGTTGCACAATCAGTGAAATCTTGCTCGGGATCCCCTAGACTTTGTTATCCTTCTCCCTCCCTTACTGAACATTGATTTAGACTGGTGGCTCAACAGAATTGCATCTTTTTTACGGATGCTTCTCTGGCGGGTTGGGGAGCGTTTCTGGATACACGGGAAATCACGGGTCTTTGGTTGGGTCAGCTATACACATCAATATGCTAGAGCTTCTTACTGTTCTTCGGGCTCTGGATCATTTCCTGCTATTAATACGAGGCAAAATGTTCATGATCCATTCCAACAAATCGACCGTTGTCTCGTATCTTTATCAACAAGGGGGAACCTGTTCACATTTGCCTTGATTCTGGGTATTAGAACTCCCCTTCCAGGTCCATTCATATCACACATACCTACTGGTATGTTATGTTCTGGGTCTAGAGAATGTTCTCCCCCATGGAGTGGTCCCTCAATCCTCAGGTGTTTTGTGGTTATGTGAACAGTGGGCTACTTCTCTTCTGGATGCATTTGTCACCCATCTCAATGCCAAGCTTCCCCTTTTTTTGGCCCCCAATCCCATATCCTTTGGCTGTGGTGGTAGACTCCTTCAGTTAGGGTTGGTTCCACCTTTACCTGTATGCCTATATGTCTCCTTCACCAAGTTTTATCCAATCCAATCTGTGTAAAGTCCTTCTCATCTTACTCTTTTGGTCTGTTCAACCTTGGTTTCCGGTTCTTACCCTCCTTCAGTGATCACCTATGTTTTCAGTTTCACTATCATCCTCCCTACTTTTACAACCTCTGTTGCCATTGTTTCTTCCCAAAGTCATCACACCATGGCTTCACCCATGGCATTTCTCCGGTCTCTTGTGAGGCAGTCTGGACTCTCCACATGGGTAGCTTCCATTCTTTTGCATTCCATCCATCCTTCCTCCTTATTGGTGCATCAGAGAAAATGACTTGTTTTTTTTGCCAGTGGTCTCTGCACCATGGTTACCACCCTTTCCCTCTTGCTGTTCTTCATGTGTTTGAATTTTTTACTTGGCTGTTTGACAATGGTTTTTCTGCGTCTACCATTGCCAGCTATAGAGCAACCTTGTCCAGTACTTTTCATTTCTCCCATTCCTGTCTAGTGTTTCCCTCTCCGGTCCTCTCTCTTATGTTTTGTTCCTTTCATATCCTTTGTCCTTATCATCCTATGCCCCTTCCTGATTGGGACCTCACTATCGTTTTCTATGCTTTTACCCAATCTCTTTTTTGAACCCTTGACCACCGTACCCTATACCATTTGGCTCTCAAGACTTATTTTTTGCTCCTTTTTGCCTATGGTCATTGTAGGTTGGATTTGTTTTGCCCTTGACGTATTACTTGTCCTTTATCATCATACCTGTATGTTCTCCTGTATCCGGATCACAGTTTTTTTCCAAGACATCAGCAATTCGTGAAGATGACATTACATTTACCGCTATTTCCCTACCTCCCATTTCTATTCACGCTCCAGTTGGAATCATTTTCTCTGTCCTGTTTATGATCTTTGATTTTATATTGCCCAGATGGCCTCTTTCCATTGGAACCCTTCATTTATCCATGATATTTCCCCTACCACCTTTATGGGTTGGATTCACCAGCTTATCAGATTGGCTTATTCTTCCTTGTCTTCCGATTCCCAATGTCTTTTCCAAGTGTCCTCTCATCAGAGCCACCACCTTTCTCTGGTTGCCCATTTCCATCGTTCTTTGGAGGAAATAATTCAGGCTGGTGTGTGGACCACATATAACACATTCATCTCCCATTACCTTCATCATGTAACCACCTCCTCTGCATCTGGATACTGAATACTGCTTGTTGCCATTCTCCACACTTTGGTTCAACTATGAATGGGTAAGTTCATATATTTCCATTTCAGGGTACCTAATTTACATGTTGGATCCTGCTCTATGGCAAGGGTTGCCTATCCAGATATACCAATTCATAAATCTGTCTTTCCGGTCTATAACACTGGCTGTTGAGATGGAGTGCTCCACAAGACTGCTAGTAGGTTCATCCTTGCAATGTTTTACATCATAACTATGTCCATTCCAGACTGTACCAACTCTTGGACTATCATGAGTAAAGCAGTTTCAGGATAGCTGCCCATCCCTTTGATCTCAGTTTAATAAATTTGGACTAACCTGCTTTTAAAAAATAGGTTTTGTGTCACCCATTGCACTTTCTCCAGTGTTGCATTCTTCCAGACTCCCCACCACATTGTTCCCCTCCCCTCTTCAAGTGGAGTACAGGCGTCTTTTCCATTTACTAGCTTCTAGCTGCTGGACAATGGAGGCGTCCCCCTGATTGTTCTGAAATCCATTCAGTTAAGAGTAGGGTGGTGGTGTTCTCTCAGTGTAAATGGTGCAGGCCAGATGAAGAGTACCTGATGCCATCTGATTATGGACTGTAGGTGATTCACCAAAGTTAATTTCAACCCTCTAGCTGGAACCTCTCATCCTACCACCTCCTGGATGCTGGTTCCCAGGTGGTCTGGTGTTGGATTAGAGCTGAACCCGCCAACATAAGTCCTCACACATGTAGCTGGTAGGGAGCCCTCATCCTACCACCAACTGAATGATATATTCCCAATGGTGTCTGGTTTTGGGTTTGAGTGACCATGAACCACCACATTGCACCCCCCCCCCCCTTCCTATATGTCAGTTTGCTGGGAGTCTTGGTTTGGGTTATGTACTAGAATGGTAGAATGTTTTTCCCTTTTGCTTTTTTGTCTTGAGGTGAAAATGGTAGGGATCCTTCTCCTACCCTAAACCAGACGATAAATACCTGATGCCGCCTGGTTTTGAACTGGAGTTCAGTCTGACATGCCCTAGCCACTTTTGACACATATAATGTTGTATAGGATGTATTTCCCTTCTGCCTGAATTAGTGACACATACTTTCACAGTGGGCAAAGAGTACACCTGGTTCTGATGTGGTGAGGTCTCCCATGATTGTGTTCTTCTGCAGTGAAATGTCACACTCCATGGGATCTCTTTGGATGTTTTCTGAAGGGTACTCAAATAGGTAACTTTTGCACCAGTTCAGTGTGGGATTATGAGTGAAGGTAGTGTATCATATCAGAAGTTATAATTTTCCTAAACTGAAAATGCATTTCTGATAAATACTTACCTCCACTCTCACTTCTTTTTTGCATAATCTGGAAGTGAAGATGGGTTCTCCAGCTGTGTCAGGAGGGTGTATTGCACTCATATTGATGGAGGGTTGTCACATTCTTATTTGCATGCTACAGTGCAGCTGTATCATGTGATAAATGTGGATTAGGTGGGAGTATCAAGGCTAGTGGCAAGTGAAAACATTGGTGCATATAGATAGAAGCACTGAGTGAGAAACGCTATTATGTGAGTAGTGGTAAGTATCTATTGGAAATACATTTTCATTTTAGGAAAATTATAACTTTGGAAGAAGCTTTTAATTATTTTATGTATTAAGTAAGTAGTAAAACACTAGATTTGTTATAAGATGAGCCAAATGGCATATCCTGTTATATTTATGTTGATGGTTTAGCCTTCTATTCTCACTGTTAATTAGCTACTCAAATGTAAAAAAAAAACCGTTAAAATGTAGTTAAAATGAGAAATAATTTTTTATTAACAAATTAATCGGCAAAATGTGTTTCTGTAGCATTGTATTATGCCTGATATTTGATATTTTGATGATTGAAAAAATAAAAATGGCACATAAATTGTCAACTCCACAATGTAACCAGTAGATTCATGTATGTAGACTTTGGATCATACCCTGTTAAAACTTTTTCAGTAGTTTTTACCCAAAGCATGAGAGAGAGAGAGCTGAGTAATGTTTGTGTTCTCAACATAAAATATTCTGGAAACAACAATTTATTGAATAATTGGTTCTATTAGCTGTGGCCAGTTAACCAACAGTTTTATTGACACATCATTCTGTATGTATTTTCTTTTTAACATTATCTTTGATATGGATAGTGAAACACTATAATTTTTTATTGTTCATGAGTACAAAATTGTTTGAGTGTAATATGGTTATACTCAAAAATTTATTAGTGATTTGATTACTCAAGCATGCAGAATAGTTTTAAATCATATTACACTCAAAAGCTTATTAGTGATTTGATTGACCATGGGTGTAGAATAGTTTGGGAGTAATCAGATTACACTCAGTAGTTAATTAGTCAGACTGATTTTATTCCTTTAAAATACTATAGATGTGGAGCTAAGTGCCAACTTGCTTGTTTTGCTGGACTGTCTGAAACTCACCCAGAGCTACTTAACAGATGAAATCACCACATCTTTTGAACAGGAACTGTTTCATCTACAGCCCCCAGAAGTGTTAGCTCGAGAAGTAGTCAATGATCTTATCTCTGCAGGGTAATGGATTGTGTTACTTAGAACATAAGAATTATATGCACAAGACTTGTTAATTTTCTAGTTTAGTTTAACTTAGTTGTTGTTCTAAAATTAGTCAATATGCAATAAGAAAAAATAATAATTCAGAGCTTCTTACAGGCTTCAGAACTTGAGGATCCAATGTTCCTTCAGGCTACGGAACTTGAGGTTCCAGGGTTCCTCCAGGCTTTGGAACTGGAGAATCCAAGAGTGTATCTGTGGTCTAATATGACATGGTAATATATTTGGACACACTAGCTTGGTGGAAGCAATTTTAATCTTTTTAACTAAATATTGTCAATAAAGTGCCATGAGTCAGAAATTAGTCTGATTTTGTACAGACCAGCAGTTGATAATGAAGCCAATGATGAAATTATACAGAATATTTCATTGGTTGTTCTTTAGTTCCATAAGATTGAAGGATATAGAAATATAGATTGAAAAGATCAATGATGAAATTATACAGAATATTTTACATAACATTTCATAGTTTAAAAGGGGTGGACAAAAACAAAATCCAGAAGAGAAAGGACTCGAGAACAAATATTCAAATTCTCACACTAGGGTAAATTCAGGTTGTTTTTAAATATTTTCTTATGAAATTAAAAACTTGAAACTTATATTAAAAGTAGAGTTATTATCCATGGTTTGACATCAAGTTTGTTTGTATACTATGATAATTAAGTAGTTTAATTAAATTTTGAATGTAACTCACTAAAACTACAGCCAACTGATTTCTCAAGTTTTATTTAGATTTTACTTTGCACTTATATACAAAATTATTGGTAAACATACTGCAAATGATTCTAGTGCCCATAGTAAAGCAAAAAAAAAGCCATCTCAGTATCAACAAAACTGAAAATCATCAAAAAGTTTAATGAAGGCCAGAGACTCGCGGAGATCGCCAAGGCATTCAAGTTCTCACTATCAACTATAGCAACTATCAAGAAAGAAAAAGCTATCCAAAGTGCTAAGTCTTCAACACCTGCATCTGCTAAATTACTAACTAGGCATTGCCCTAACATAATAGAAGAAATGGGATGTTTGTTAGCTCTATGGGTGGATGGCATGAAGCAGTGGAAGGATTCATTATTTGAAGACCTGCAGAAAGAAGAACAGGAATAACCAGGACCTAATACTAAAGAAACCACAACTTTTACTGCAAGTAGAGGCTGGCTCGATAGGTTTAAAAAAAAAGGCACAATCTACACAGCCTAAAGATGACCAGTGAGGCAACAAGTGCTGACAAGGAGGCAGCAGCAGCATACATACCAGTTCTAAAGGGAATTATCGAACAAGGAGGATGTACAACCTGTCAAGTTTTCAACGTTGACAAGATTAGTCTGTATTGGAAGAATATGCCAGACAGGACAGTCTTGTCAAGGGAAGAGAAGTCAGCATCTGGTCACAAAGCTTTCAAAGATAGAGTTTTCCTAATTCTGGGAGGCAATGCAGAGGGTGGTTTCAAGTTGAAACCTCTTATGATTCACCATTCTGAGAATCCACGGGCACTTAAGGGTATGTCAAGATCAATCTGCCAGTCATTTGTAGGTCTAATAAAAAGGCTTGGACAACAAAAACAATTTTCAAGGATTGGTATACCAATTTTTTCTGCCCTGCAGTGGAGAGATATTATTTTGTGAAAAATCTTTCCCATAGAGCTCTGCTGCTTGTTGACAACTCATCAAACCACCCTATCAACCTAACTGACTTATCAACAAACATTTGTGTGGAGTTTCTTCTGCCAAACATCAAGGAGTCATAGCATATTACTTAAGACGCATCCTCAGATCAGGGCAGTGGACAGTGTCAGAAACACCTCGATCAGAAATTTCTGGAAATCGTTCAACATCAAGGATGCCACAGACAACATAGCAGAGTCTTGGAAGGAAGTTACAACCTCGAATATTAATGGAGTTTGGAGAAAACTGTGGCCAGAATGTGTACATGATTTTCAAGGCATCCCTAATACAGAACCTGTTGTTAAAGAAATTGTGTCAGTAGCACATCAGGTTGGGTTTAATGGAATTGAAGAGCAAGACATCAAGTGACTTACTGGCATCACACCATGAATAACTGATCAATGCAGAGCTTATGAAAATTGACCAAGAATGGACTGCTGATGAAGAGAGAGAGAGATGACAAGGAACCAGAACCGTAGTTGGTTTTAACACGGAAATTGCTGTCAGATTCACTCTCCCTATTTGATCAAGCTGTGGAAATCCTGACTAAAAATGACCCAAATTTTTGATTGAAGCCTTAAACTTGAACACAGTGTTGAAAGTGCCCTAACCTCCTATAAAGAACTTTATAAAGTAAAAGTAAGCATGCTAAACCAAAGTCTGCACCACTGCTTCCTGCTGCATCTCTTCCTTGCCATCACCATGATGTTGACACTCCTGCTCCAGTGATGATGACTGCCCCTATCTTTGTTGAGGAACTACCATCAACATTAGCCAAAACATAATAAACTGAAAGTGAACATATTTTAATGATAATTTTGGGGTAAATAAAAATATAAGCCAGTGATAAATTTATTAAATTCAAATTAAGTACTGTACGTACAAGAAAGTGGAATGGTTGACACATAAGGTGATGGTGAAGGGCATTGCTTGTTGTTACTGCTTGGTAGGAGAAGGGGAAGAATGAATTTCTGCTTTACAGTCATCATCGTGGGCTGCAGGAGGACTGACAAGAGGATTCAGAAGAGCAAATGAGTTAACATCTTCCTCATCACTTGGCAATTTTTTTTTTTTGGTTGAGAACGTATCTCCAATTATATAATGGTAGTCAATGGGAAAATCTACCTCGCTTTATGAAATTTCACTCTACGAAAGATTTTTCAGGCAGCTATGATAATTATTGGGTAATAAAACATTTAGTGGGAATCACTATGTCATTATTTTTATTCTTTACAATTTTTTATGTATGAACCAATAACACCAAATTTCTAAAGCTGTGAAAGATATAATTGTGTGAGCTTAATAGGAAAAAATTGAGTGAAGTTTTGGTTCAATTGTTATTTTGTCATGATCTGTTTTTGCCTGTGAAGGATACATTTCATTATTTCAACATTATGTTTATATAACTTTAATATCACCAGTAAGAATTATCTAGTTTTCTCTGACGTTTCACAGGAAACATTTAAAAAAATGCACATTGTTAATTTAATAAAGGAACATTGTACAATATTGACATTTGAACATTAGAATTTATTTGAAACAAATGGGTTCTTGTTCCAAATGAATTAAAAACCATTGTATTTTTTATAAGATTTGATGAAATGTTATCTTAGCAGCTGTTTTTGTTTTGAACTCAATTTCAAGGTTTATCATATATTAAAGTAACTCTGATTTTATATTGTTACATTTTAAAGTAATTACTTTTCAGCTGATCATACAGTTTATGTCTATGACTTGCTAGGTGATCAAACTCAGTTATTTAATCAATACTTTGATAGGTCTCAAGAAGAATCTCATAAAACCCAGATATCTATTCAGTATTTTGATAGGCTTCATGGGAGTTAAACTTCTGAAAAAAAATGATTGATAAAAATTATGTTTAATAAAGAAAAACTTAGTATTTTTATAACTCAGAAATAATTGAAGATTTTTTAAATTTTTAACTGGGATTGGGTGTGTGTGTGTAAGGAATCACCGTATTGTTTGTTTTAGAGCTAATTAAGCTTTTGTTTTTTAGATTCTACCTCATGTAACATACAAAATATATAGATATATAAGCTAAAAGCAAAATTCAGGTTACTCTGGGATACCATACAGTGTATACATGGTTCAAGTGCAGGACTGTGGGGATTCAATAACAGGTGAAAATGTTCTTTTAGAGTAGATGAAGAAGTAATAACCTTGGTCATGCATATTTGTTTTAAATGTTCATGAACAGTGATATAAGGTAATATATCTTTTTATACAGTCTGATATCTTGTAGACTAGCCATACTTTGTGTTTAACAAGTTACCTCTTGTTAAGAGACTTAATTTTTTTATAAAGGACTCAAGAAAAACCATTATTATCAGAACTTGAGTGTCGTCTACACACAAGTACAGGTATATTGCAAGCTCTTAATGCTCTTCTAAAAGAAGTTGACTTGGGACAGAAGAAAACAGAAGAGCTGTCCTGGGAAAATGATGGTAAGTTAAAAAATAAATAAAAGAGGAGGAAAATTGGAATAATTTAGATGTAAGTTTTACATTATCGTAGGAGACCATTATAAAATGCAGGAGTTTAAAATTACTGAAAAAGCCCAAATATTAAAACATTATACTGTACCATTTCTTTAAATGTTCTCACACACTGTTTTTCTTCATATATTTTTTGCTTTGTTACAATGCGTATGTACTCCATCATAAAGTGGTAGTTTCAAAGATAAACGTAGCACACAGTTTCCTGATCTATGTGACAGTGTGTGTGTGAAAAGACAAGTGTAGTGATTTATGGTAGTGGAATGAAAGAGAATACTTGGTGTGAAGTTTAAGTAACAATAAATGTGTGTTGAAGAAACAGAAGAATGCCCAACCATTCAGGTGAAAAGAAGTGTTGTGTTGAAAATTAATAGAAGTCACTCACATTATTAACACAAGTAGTTAGGAACAAAAGGTTAAACATATCAACAATGAGTCTTGACTCCTTCGCAACAGAAAGGAATCTGCCTGAAAACTTCAACCATAATTTTCAGTCTCTCTCCAACTGATCAAAAAGAAAGGATATCACAAAAATCTGGAAGTATCTATACACCTTGTGATAGTTTTAAAGCAGCTGTCTATACCAAGGTAGAAGAGGATATAATACAACTATCCCACGAAATGGCTGTTACTGTGGAACGCTGTACAATGTCTTGCATTCTTACAGGACTTTCATTTGTTAAAACCAACCAGTTTGTGTATGAGTCACTGCATTGCTAAATATAACTATTTAAAAATAAAAGCGATTGGTTTGATTTATTTGTAATTCATCATAACTGAATTTTAATTACAGGAAGAAATGCAGATTGATTTTATCACTTTAGATATAATAGTATTTACTGAACTGGTTAAGCATTGAAATAGTCTTGTAGTTCAAGGATGATAGAAAATAAAAACGGATGTATATATACCTCTATCATAAATAGCTTGAGAACTGTAGGACCTGGTGGTTATGGCACTTGACTCACAATCTGTGGGTCGCAGGTTCAAGTCCCTGTCACTAAAAATGCTCACCTTTCAGGCATGAGGGTGTTATAATATGATGGTGAATCCCAATTTTCATTGGTAAAGAGTAGCCCAAAAGCTGGTAGTGGTGGTGTTGATAGTTGCCTTCATTCTAGTCTATCACTTCTAAATTAGGGATGGCTAGTGCAGATAGCTCTTGAAAAGCTTTGCACAAAATTCAACAGTCTGAGCTAATAATGTTAATATATAAATGTGTTTATTCATTTCAAAATAGTTTTTTATTTTCACATCTAGAGAATAAACTTAAATATTTGTTATTCAGTCTCTTCATAGATTTAATTAGAATGTCAATTCCTTGGCACAGTGCCACTGTAAAAACATATTGAAATAGTTGATTGTTCAGAATTCAATTGCTTGCTGTGTCAGGATGTTATGAAATCTGTGGAATTAAATACTGCCGTCATTTTTTTTATTGAGCAAGCTATTTTACATGGTGTTGAAAATATATGGAAAGTGAATGTTTTTTCCTTTGAAGTTTTTGTGTTGTTTTTATATTCATGCTCAGATATGGACGTGAGGTCACAGCAGTTAAACTCCTTCTTCACTAGTGCTAGTGGCCGCAGTGTAATTGTAAGAACACTACACCAGCTGGCCAAGTTGAGATTCTCCCACTGTCGAGACTTGTTGCTCCTTCAACATCTGATACTGTCACTAGGTGATAAGGTGAGTTGTTACAGTTGCTTGAAGTTTCCTGTAAGTTTGTTATTAAGAAGGTGAATTATTACAACTTGATTTAAAATTTCAGGCTCTGTGTTGGACGTATGTTTCCTTCAATATGTGATGCGTTTCTGTGTTGAACGTATATTTTCTTTAATATGTGTGATACCTTGTATTGAGAAAGTGAATTACTACATTTTGGTAATATTTCTCTCTTCTCTACAGAGTGGACTCTCTTTTGAACAGTCTGAGAAGGTCCGTACAGAGACACTACCATTGACTAGTATATTTACCCAAGCCTATTACATTGTCATGTGGTTGACTGAAGCTGAGTGTACACCAGTTGAAGCAAGTGCTTTGTAAGTTTAAAACTTGATAACTAATGTACCAGTATGGACTGATATTGAGTTACTTTTGTAAACTGTGTTGCGTGAGTTCAAAACTTGGTAAATAATATACCAGTATGTACTGATGATGAGTTACTTTTGTAAACTGTGTTGCGTGAGTTTAAAACTTGGTAAATAATATACCAGTATAAACTGATGATGAGTTACTTTTGTAAACTGTGTGAGTTCAAAACTTGGTAAATAATATACCAGTATGGACTGATGATGAGTTACTTTGTAAACTGTGTTGTGTGAGTTCAAAACTTGGTAAATAATATACCAGTATGGACTGATGATGAGTTACTTTGTAAACTGTGTTGTGTGTAGTTACAAAACTTGGTAAATAATATACCAGTATGGACTGATGATGTAGTTACTTTAGTAACTG